TTGGGGGAAGAAAAGAGAGAGAGAGGCAAACTGGAATCAGGATCAAAAAAAGCGCTTCCGTCCTCTTCTGGCCGATCCTGCCGCCGCCGAGGATTGTTATTATTATTTTTTGGAAAGGCTTAAGCCTGGGGCTCAAACTTCTCTCCCTTTCTTTCTCTCTCCTCTTCTTTCTCTCAGTCCTAGTCTTAAAGAGGCAGCAAACTACTTTCCCCCTTTTGCAAACACTCTCTTCTCTGCCTTGACAACTCCTGATACTTTTTTGAACAAGTTAATAGACAACCATCCATGTGACGGGGGCTGTCAGGGAATAAATGGGTTTCCAGCGACCAATCAGCGCGCGGCGGCTCCTCCACTCGAGCCCAGCCTCGCCGCCGGGTTTTGCATGAAAGGGGGCGGGGCCAACCGCGCCGCGGGCTGCGCGGGGGAGGCAGGGGAGCCGGGGGAAGCAGGGGAGGGGGAGGCGGCTCCCACAGCCAGCCTGCCAGCCACTGAGAAACCTTTGTATCCCCTCTCGCAGCAACAGGTCACACCACACGCCTTTTCGAAGGAAGTGGGTAAACAGCACTAAGACTACGATTTTTTTTTCTTTTTTAAACTTAGTGTTGATTTACTTTTTTGGTGCGGGGTGCTGAAACGTGGAAGGGGCGCGAAAAGCGCCTAAGATGTGGGGGTGGGGCAGGGCAGAGTGGGTGGTTCAGGGCGACTGTCCTACTAGTATTTCAGGAAACAGGCAGTGCTGGAGTTGGTGTGTCATTGTTCTACTCTTCCGCACATTTCCCCCCAACGCCAGGCCCCTAGCGCGTCTCCCTAACCTTGTTCTTCTCGACCCTCTTCCTACACAGGTGCCGACTCTTGCTCTCCCCCAAGCCCTCTCCCCCGCCCCCACCTTCTCACGCTGTCCCACTGTAACTTAGACTAAAAGCCCTGTCTTCAAAACTCTCCTTGCTTCCACGCAATTTGCTCTGTTAAACATAAATCCTGCTCGGACTACGCCGCAGACTCTAAAATTGAGGACAGGCAGGGCCTGGGTAAGCTATTAGATCCATGCTCTTCCTTGCCCAATTCGGCTCTCAGGCCAGGAGGTCACAGTTTTCTCCCTCACCCTCAGCCAAATTTCCCACCGGTCTTTCTCCATTCAGTGAGCGCAAAGGGGATGCCTCTACTTTCCTCCTCTCTCTCCCCATTTTCCTCCTGTGCCGCCCCAAAGATGGGTTTCAGTGTGGCAGCTTCCAAAGGGGTTTGGGTGGCAGGTGGGGTGGGGAAGTTTGGGGGTTGGGGGAGAAAAAGATCTACGGAAAGGCTCTCCCAAGTGCAGGCTGTGGGGGAGGGTACCCTCAACTTCCTGGCTTCCCACCTCACGGCTTGGAGATGGCCTTTGGGCCGAACTCACAAACTCCCTCCCCCTCAGACAGAATTCCCAGGACTTGAGCGGAACCAACCCAGTGACTTCTGTCGTGGCCTCTACATCCGGGGCTGCCGGGGTTGAGGCTGCGCTGGAACGGGACTCTGGGTCTGGAGGGGGTGGGGGGGGTGGTAGTGCTCGCCAGGCACAGGTGCAGGTCGTACCGGCGAGAGAAAGGCGTCCAAGACTGGGGAGGAGGTGGCCCAGCCAGGCCGGGGCTGGAGGAGATGGGATAGAGGCGGGGGTAGGGGCTCAGGAATCCTGCCCGCCCAGGACCCAAGAGGGTAATTTTAGCCGCTCTCCCATTGTCCCGACGTAAAGATTTCAATAGGTAGGAGCTCAATGCGGAGAGCAATGGCAGCACGTCCGTTACAAATAGGTAGTTTTGTTTCTCTTGTTGTCGCTACACGGAGTCAAACAAAGCCCCGTCTAAGTTTCCTTCCACTCTCTTGTTGGGATCTTTGTGGCTAAAATGCACTTGACTACAAAGGAGGGGGGGGGAGAAAAAAAAAAAACAACAAAACCCTGATGCCATTTCTTTTTTATAAAGGGCTTAAACCATTAGGGTTACTTATTTTCTTTCTTCTGTAACACTCACTCCGCCTCCTCCTCCCCAGATCTACCCTTACTCACCCTAAGAAAATGTCCTGAATAGTATCTGTCGGCCACGTTCCATTTATTATCTTTACAAACTGGGTATTGTTTTGTTCCTTGCGAACCTCTTCCCATAACCGGCTCTCTCCCCGACCCCCTACTTCTCCAGTCCCTGCCCTTCCAAGCTTTTCTATTCTTATCAAACTCAAGATGATCACGCTCACCCAAAACCCAGAAAAGTTGTGGGAAAGAATCCTGAAGACAACTTTTTAAATAATAAATTATTATTCCACTCCAACCTCCCCTCCCCCGCAGTTTCTTTATCTCTCTCTCTTTTTCTCTTAAGTTATGGTTTGTTTTAGTTCTTGGGAACCTGGAAAGATGAAACTGGTCTTCTCAAAAAAGCATAACTATATGGCACTCTTCAAAATAAAGCAGTGTCTTCTGTTTTAGTCGAGGTGTAATATTAACCTAAACACGGACCTGGAGATTAGGAAAGAGAAAAGGTTGAGAGGATCTGTAGGAGAGAAGGCGGCTCCTGGCTTTTCAGTGCGCCTGTTTTCAGGGATGTGACTGGTGCGCCCCCTACTGGTAGACTTGCTTTTCGAAGAATACTGCTTTTACCTTTAAAAGGTATTTGGAAATAATTAAAGAAAAAAAAATAAGGGGGATGGGAGGAAGATCAGACTAATTATACGTCATCTAAACAAAAGAAAAGTCGACATATCATATAAGCTGTGGAACCAAATTATAAGAATCAGATTTAATTTGCTTAACTTAGAAATGTACATATAACCTCGAGGTAAGTGGGAGGGTTAAGCCATGGGAAAAAAATAGGTACAAATTATGAGATTCAACATATGAATGAATTATGATTGTCCAGATGCCACGAAGGGCGAACCAAGCATTCACTTTATGATTGTGTATGCATTGGCGCTTTCATAGCATTATTCTGAAAACTTAAGAAAAGCTATGGATAATTAAGTTTGAAGAAAAAACCAAGGGATAATGCTGGTGTATATGTATTAAAATAAATATTAATATTAATGATGTATAGTTATAGAAGAAAACATTTTTTCTCTCTTCCTCTCTCTTTCTAGGTATGGAATCACAAATTTTTCCTTGGGATGATATTTGAAAGCTTTATACATTCTCAGATGCATGTGTTTGTGCCTGAACTCTATAATAATGCATTTAAGAGGTTAAAGGGGTTGACTAGGTCTTTTGTTAATTGCTTTTATCATATAAATAAGCTATGGAAATACATTACAATTGTGTTATCATTGGTTGCATTTATTTACAGCTTTATTTTAATTAAACCTCCTATACTTATCAAGGCAATAAACTAACTGTGGCTGGCATTTATGCATAATAATGTGCACTGGAAATAAGATTAAAGAAGATGGTGATAGCAGAAACAATTTTCTCATTAGAATTTTTAGAACATATGCATTAAAAAGATCAGATTGCCGGCCACTCTATTTCAATCCAGCATCATCACTGGCTTCTAAATATTATAATAACTATAACAATCTCAATAGGTGACAGAAACAGCACTGTTTTAGGTTTATAACAGATACTACAGTACTAATAAAAATACACCATTGACTACTAGGGAATCAAAATAAGACTGGAAAAGGGTGTTTCATCTGCCGAGAATTAAAAATGTTGCCATTGGCACAACTTATGAAAATTGATCATGCTCAAACTAGGGGGTGCGCAACATTCCCCTTCCAGTGGCAGCAAAAAGCTTCAGACTATTAGAGCAAGATTAGAAATTAAATGCAAAAATGCATAACACTTGGGGTATTCTAATTTGATTTGTTCTACTATAGGCCTTTGCCAAAAACCCTTAACTGATTAAGGTGTAACTCAATTTTATTAAAAAATCATTTGCATTGATATTTCTCTCCTAAACTCCCTTCATGCTTCCTCAAGTATTCTATCTCAAGCCAACTAACAATTTCGTGAAGATAGGGGACTGTAGACTTATTTTTTCTTCTTAGTGGCAAATAGAGGTTTAACTTGCAATAATTAGGTGAGAACTAGCCAAGCATCTTACTATTATGATGCTTGTTAAAAAACGCTTCTTTTCTGCATCTGCATTTGAGTGTGTTCCCCTCCTCTCTTAATCTTCTTATGGAAATGAAGGCAAACGGCGGGGAACCTGCAGAGTCTTGGAGAATGTCCTTGTTAACTGGAATTTCTCAGCATTGCTAATTAGTAGAGTTTGACGACCACCAGTATTGGGGGGAAAGCTCTGTTTAACCACTCACAAGCCATTTCGAGGAAGAGCAGACTAATTTTATTTTGTAATTAAAATCTGAAAAGGGCCCTATTTGACAGTTAGGGCTATGAGAGTTTTATCTCCCTGTGAAATAATTACTGCCTTGATAACTCAATTTTCTGAAAAATGTCAACTGTGGGCTCCAAAAGTTTTAATTTCATTACATAAGGAAAAAAAGAGAGAGAGAAAATAGAAGAAAATGTACAGAAAGGCTTCTAATTCTGGAACTGATTAAATATATTAGAAGCCAGATTTGGTCAAATGAAATATTTTTTTCTTTCCCCCTTTTTAAACTCATGTTTCTTTTAGAACTTAACCTTCCAATCATCTCTACTGAAAGTGTCCATAGCTCTGATCATAATGCAGTTAAAGAAATTATAACAGTGTGGTAAGAAGCAAGTGAGACTAAAAAGAGAAGTAGTATGGCAACCAGTAAGTTCCTGAAGCAAAAATATAAAGAAAAAGCCCAATTGTGTAGGACAATGCTGGTGCAATCTGGTAAAAGGAGTCTTCATTGATACTTAGGATTCACCATCCCCCGCCCCCCCCCCCCCCAAAAAA